ACATATGAATGGTAAATATTATAATTTATTTTTTTAATTTTAATATTAATAGCTTTTTATTTTATTTTATTTAAAATTAGAATTTTAGGAGAAATACGAAAATCTGGACATACAATTGAAGTTGGAGTAATTAAATTTATTAACTGAATAGCAAAATACATTTATTATGCAAATGAGCAGATACAATTTTGCCAAAAAGTTTTGCAACATCAGTTAAATCACTTTTAAGTCATAAAGAAAATAATAAAGGAACTGTTGGATATTATGGATTTTCAATTGGGAATTCTTCAAGCTATCATTGAAATTTGATTTTAGAAAAATAATTGGTACAGAACCAATTCCTTGTGAACTTTTCCCACCTCTTACTATGTGTCATTTAGAATCAGAATTAATATCACGTTTGGTTTCTTTTTATAATGATATATATTTAGAAAAAGGGGTAATTTTTTATTCTGGAAAACAAAATCACACAGAACTTAATCAAGTTCATGTAAATTCTTTAATTATAAAAGAAAATTTCGAAATGTTTTCATCAGTAGGTTGTAAATCAGATCTTAATGCTAATATTATTGCACAATTTTTAAATGAGAACAAAGAAGTTGTTTGTTATCCAGCATAAATGAAAATAATAATAATAATAACAAAAATAATATATTGAAAAAAAACGAATCAGATATTTTCGATTTTCCTGAGTCTGATGACAATGTTAATAAGTCATTGAAAACTAAAACTAATAGTAATAATAATAGTAATAGTAGAAGAAGAAAATCGTTAAATTCTTTAATGATTACCACCGAATCACCGATAAAAAGATTAAATAAAAAATCCATGAATACATCCAAATTAACTGAAAAAATAAATCCAAAAACTACCATTGTTAATGATGTTAGCAATAAACTTTCCTCAAAAAATAAATCACCTACAAAACAACAACAATTTAACAAACCCTTTTTATCTAAAGCTCCTAAAACAACTACAACTATGTCAACAACAAAATGCGTTTCTTCCCCCTTATCCATTTTTCCTTATTATCAAGAAGAAAAAATTGATACCGTTAATGTAGTAAGCACCACTACCACATCACAAAGTTTATCGCCATCATCACCTGGCTCTCGTAAACAAAACTTGGTTGCTAAAATGTCCAAGCCTACAGCAACCTCACCAAAACAAAATAAATATTTATCATCACCATCAACGTCATCATCATATTTTCGTCCTTGCATCAATTCATCATCATCATCACCAACAATATGTACTAGATCAACATCAACAACTACAACTGGCTTGAAGCTACATAACCACTATTCAGATAATAATTCAATCTTGGATTTAAATTTAAAATGCGATCTTGATTTATCGTTACCACCATCATCATCACTTGGGTTGTCCTCAACGAAAGCTATGATTATCACGTCCACTAATAATAACAATA